CATTAAGTTTCTGAATTCAGATTGTTTTCAAATAATAAGCATATCAGCTATCATTGCCCTGGTCATGACAAGGGTTATATGACACAGATTATAACATTTTATTAATCAGGAAAGCCTCTACTTTTCACTATGGCAATCTAAGTGGTACACACTAATGAGTAAGAATTTACATGGTACATGAAACCCATTTATCATCCTGGTTCTGATGTTTTAGAATTAACAACAGTGGCATCCTTGGAAAATACCTATTTTAGAAGGCATAAAATGTAATATTGTATTAATGTTTATGTAAAATCGTGGAAAGGCTTAGTAGTTTTTATCTTGGAACCATTATCTTTTCTGAATCCTGAAAACTTGTACTGCTTTATTTTATGATGAATATAAGGGAGAATATAGGAATTATTATATAGATGTTTGTTACGCTATCTAATCTATAATTAACCAGCATGTAAAAATATGGGACTTGTGGATACCTGAGACTTGCAGCTATTCAAAAAAAATTTATGAACTTCTGCATCTGAGTTTGAACATCATTGAAAAGATTCCTGAAGAACTTCGACAACATTAAAGATTTGTTTCTCTATTATAATTATATATAAGAAGAGAGGACAGTGTAGTTGAAAAAAGTGATTGAAATGACAGAAAAGAACTCAAGACACAAAAAGGACAAGAAGAAACATCTCAACTTTGAGGCCTCCAAGTTTAGGGATATTTATAAGGATGTGACCATGTCATCATGAACTGTTCCAAATATGTTTAATTTGTACTTAAAATTGTTTATAAGAGAAATGTGATATAGTTTAGTCAAAGTCATTTAAAATGAATTTAATTGCTTAAATGTTCTTTCAACTAGCATTTGAAACCACTTCTCTTTGATTCATTCCTATTTTTTATCCTTGAGAGCATCTGTCTGTTCTGCTATTGAAATATCCTTCCCTTTTTATACTTATCATCATAGTTCAGGTTTTTTTTTTTTCCTCATTGTCTTGGTGACAAGTTTTCTTGCTACATCTATTCCCAATCTTTCCTCTCTTCCTCTCTCTCTGTTTTTCTTTATATTCTCCTTTTCCACTTATTTCAGATAGTGTGTCAGTATTTACATATTGTATCAATTTTTAATTTTTTGATACTTTTCAGGAATATGTAAAATATGAAATAAGTGTTCTTACTTTTTTTCCCCCCTTTCAGTCTGAGAATAAAGGATTAGAAGCTACCAAGAACAATGTAGTTCAACCAGTTTCAGAAGAAGGAAGAAAATCTAAGTCTAAACCAGGTGGGTATAGAGATATTTATAGTTTGTATAGTTTAGTAGAAACTAATGCAAGCCTTGAAAAGTCTTGTAATAACACACTGGAAGATTCTAGCATATAGAAAAAATTGAATTGGTGAGGTAATAGTTCTTAAGGTCTTTTTTTTTTTTTTTTCCTATTTAACTTTAGGAGACCTGAAGTAACTTTGTTTCTTAATTGTTGAATAAGACTAACTTTTATGACTTGCATATTTAAAATTTTACACAAAGTATCATGTCATTTGTTTGGCTATAAATTTTTTTTTTAATCTTTATAGATAAGCAGCTTATCCAGTACACTGCCTTTCCACTTCTTGCATTCCTCGATGGGAATCCTGCTTCTGCTGTTGAACAGGGGAGTACAACAGCATCATCAGAAGTTATGTCCTCTGTAGATAAACCCATAGAAGTCGATGAGCTTTTGGATAGCAGCCTGGACCCAGAACCAACCCAAAGTAAGCTTGTTCGCCTGGAGCCATTGACTGAAGCTGAAGCTAGTGAAGCTACACTGTTTTATTTATGTGAACTTGCTCCTGCACCTCTGGATAGTGACATGCCACTTTTAGATAGCTAAATCCCTAAGAAGTGGACTCAACATGTATATATTCATCAAAATGATGAACTATTTATTTTAAAGTATCATTTGGTACTTTTCTTTTGTAAATTGCTTTGTTTTGTTTAATCAGATACTGTGGAATAAAAGCACCTTTTGCTTTTCTCACTAACCATACACTCTTGCAAAGCTTTGAAATGTTACTCAGCTGCCTAGATATACACAAAATTCAGTGCACATTATTGACAAATCTTTAAGTTGGATTCAGATGGCCATTTTTCTCCAGTTGTAATTTGGATTTCATTTTACAGATATGACCATTAACAACAGTTATTTTTGTTTTACTTGTTTGATGGTGTCTGTCTGCGTTTGAGCGTAAGTCACTAGAACTAATGATAGAACTTCTAAAGCTTTCTCTGTTCCAATTATTTTTATTAAATATTTTTCACTTGGCTTATTTTTAAAACTGGGAACATAAAGTGCCTGTATCTTGTAAAACTTCATTTGTCTCTCTTGGTTCGAAGAAGTTCATTTATGTTTGGAGTTCATTCATGTTCAACAGGAAGTGCAAAGTGTACACAAATACTCACTGATATGGTTCCAGCTCCATATATATAGAAAAAATGTGGGGATGAGTTGGGAGTCTCATCCACTTAGTTGGACTAGTTTTAAGTAAAAGTTTTCTGGTTTTGTGTTTTTTTGAACCATACTATTTAGTAAAATAAATAATAATGAATGTTGAGTACTGGTATTTGTTATGTGTCTTCTTTGGAGGTAATATCCACATGAAAGGAAGAAGGTGACTTTAAACTGTATGTATTGTCTGATGAAGTAGGTAGTATATTGCAGTAACAATAGAATATAGTGTTTCTAAATTTAATGTTTTAAAAGTTTTACTTTGTTTAAAGATAACACCAACTTGCTTTCTGTGTTTTGAATAAAGAACCGAGACATCTTATATGCCTCTCCTCCTTGTAGCTAAAGAAAGAAAATTATCAGGGGCTAACACTAGAGCCTTGTAATTTTTGCTCTTAAAGAAGACAGGAGAAATAATTAAATGACTTCCTCTGTTCCAAACAGAGGAAGTCATTTAATTTAAATGGCTTAAAAGAATTTGTAAGACTAGGGTACTGTATCACTTGAAGAACTCTACCTTTAAGGCAGAGTGCTGAAAGCTCTACAGTTAATATCTGTATATAGGGCTATTCAATGAGAAATTCTAAGGAAGACCTTTTTTCCATTGACCATATTGTATCTTTCAAATTTTTCTTTTCTATCAAGATTCAAAGTGAGGCTTACTCTAGTGGGCAAAAGGCCCTGAGTTTCATTCCCAATATCATAAAGCAAAACAAAGGCCTAGCACAGAGGGATAGGAAAACCCTTCCCTATTTAGATCCTGAAATACTTGGCTGACAGTGGGATCTTGATGATTCAGCTCAAGATCCTGGAACAGTTTTCAGCATGAACCAAAGAGGTCACTTTTCCAAAGCTTGTTAAAATAAAGATTTTATGAACAGGAGAGAAACTTTCTCATTGTGGGATATGATCAAGTTCCTTGTTGTTGGGGGCATTTTGGAGCTTCCCAATCGAATCACTCTAAAAAAATTGAAAAATGTTATTACATTGGTCCTTTTTAAGGTTTTTCTAAGTTTAAATATTGAAGGAATTTAAGATTTTTGTTTTAAAATAACAGCAGTTACATGCTTCTTTTAAATGTAATCAGAATACTAGGGAAAAAAAAAAGAATACTAGAGGGATTTGACCTCTCATAATTTGCCTGGCTTCCCCAAAGAATTTTATACCCATTTTTACTGTGTGAAAAGTTATACATGGATGTTCCTGTTAACACTTATCTGCAGCTAAGAAGTTGTTTCTTTTAGCTAATATTTCTAGACATTTTTTAAAAGTCCATTTTCAGTTATACCGATTATCAGAACAGTATATTTGATCTTTGCAATGAAATAACCATACAATTAAGTTCTAATAAATATAACAAGAAATGATATATAGTACTATCCTAAGTCTGTTTTGATAATCTTCCCCATGCATTCCTCCTTATCCCTTATTTCTCCACTGGCTTGATTCAGGACTTCCAAATATATATTCAAAAGGAAACTTGGGGCTGGGGTTTTGGCTCAGAGGTTATAGAGTGCTTGCCTAGCACTTGTGAGGCACTGGGTTCGATTCTCGGCACCACATTAAAAAATAAAATAAAGGCATTGTGTTCACCTACAACATATATATATATAGTATATATTATATGTATATATTATATATATATATGTTATATATATTATATGTATATATATAATGTATGTATGTATGTTTTCTTGGCCTCCTTAATCATTGTTTTTAGAGCTACCCATTAGTCCTTGAAACCAATTTTAGACTTCAGATGATAAAGAGAAACCTTTCAATCCTTTGGACTCCATTAGAATTCACCATTAATTTTTTTTTTTAATGCTACATCACTTAGAGACTCAATTTTGTTGAATAAATAAATAAGTAAATTTTTATCCCAGTTTGGGACATTAAAACAATCTATAGAGATTTTCCCCAAGTGCTTTGGTAAAATTTATAATGAAGATGTGGTGTATCTTTCTTTTAAGTATGGAAAGAATAATTGATAAAAGGGATAGTACCTTGTTTTGATGCATTTTTTTCCACATGGATCAACTTTAGGGAAGAGCTCACATGAAGATGGAGGAATTAATGGCATTTCTTTAAAAATAATCAGACTTGTGTTTTACAAGGGTAAGTCTCTATACTATCTGGATTCAAGGAAGATGCTTCATTCCTCCATTTTTCTTTTGCCTTAGGGGGATGTTAAGCAGGACAAGAAAGAGCTGGTGACCAACACCTAAACTTTCCAGTATATGTTCATAACAGATGGTATATGTAGCACTTTAAAACCTTAAGTGTTAAGAAAAAAAAAAAAGGGTGATATGTATGTTTGGAATGTTACAGTCATGCCTAACTAAGAAGGACTCTATATAAAGACAACCACAGGGATAAAAACCACCTGGAAAACAATTCAGTTGCCAAGCCAGAAAATGACCAGTTAATTATCCAGTGCCAGGTTCTTTTTTATATAGGAAAAAGGAAGATCTGAGTATTCAAGTCCCTTCAATTTGAATTACTAAAGAATTTAATACACTCTCACTTTCTCGAATTCATTTATTTAGGAGAACACAGCCATTCAAAATTGTGGAATACAATATTAACACAGAATAAAGTTGGGGAATTAAACTTAATTGTTATGCTCCATTTGCATTAATAAATATTTTTAAGAAGCAAAAGTACATTTTAAAAGCTTTGTTAGATAATTATACAAATTTCTAAGAGTTTTTAATCTAAATTAACTGTCACACTGCTTGATTTTCAAGGTGAAAGATTATAATAACTTATATATTTCAATTGCCTGGCAGTAAATACAAAAGCAGTTTTAAACATCTGTTGAGCTGTGTAGTACGTTACTGTAAGCAAGAGTTTATAATAATCCATCATTCTGGCCTTAGTTTATGGATAGAAAGCATGCTGGACAGTAGCAACACATATTACGTAAATTATCCAACATTACATACAAAATCAATTATGCATGTAATTTAAATAGAAATTTCTTCAATGTCAGGATGCTAAGCAATTTTGGTGGACTTAGAATTTCTCAGCTTTGTCATTAATATTAATAATCAATTGGAGCTATTTATGTCTTTCAGTTTCTTCAATTTTCAAATGAGAACTTGACTAGATCTTATCAATATATTATCTTCTGAAGCCAAGTATTTTGTAATTTCTGCTCTATCAAAAGTTTCCCACTTTTGAATTGCAAAACTTCCTAAGTTCCAACAACTTCCTTCTAATCCACTTTTTTTTATAACATTGTCTAAATCCTTCGGCATTCCAATTTAAACCCATACTTCGAGTGATTTTATAATGACCAAAACAAAGTTCATTTTGTTGAAGAAGGACATCATATCTACCCAAGGAAGATAACAATCTCTAATCGCACTGAGTATTCAATACCACCACCAACAATCTGACTTTTTTCTTGAAGGTTCTATGCCTCAACCTCCATCCATAATTTACACCACTGTCCACTGAATATACCCTTCTTGTGCTAAGTTCTCTACTTTTATACTAATGGTAAATCTTAAATGAATTTGAATGACCTGCATTTTTAAAACAACTAACCATGTAAGTGAACTTGTTTATACAATTTTAGAATAGCTATGTTCTTCATAGTCTCCCATAAGGCAACACATAAAATATTTCAAAAGGCAGCCATACACATTTACTTTTATGCTTTTTCTAAAACAGCTTAAGGAAGGTCTAGCAAACTTTTAAAAGCAAACTGACAGTTTTGTTTTTACTTTTAATTTCATACTTAGAGCAGAGAGAGATAAGCCTACCAATGTCCACTTTATTAATTCACCACCATTATTCATAAAACTCTGCCTTTACAACTCACTCTAATTCACATGATCAATGCACATGGCAAAAATATAATGAATAAAATGGCAAGCAATAAAATCTAATTCATGCCAGAACAATACCAGAGAAGTTACACAGGAAGCACACACACAATTTACAAAAATTGGGAATACTGTTAATTTCAAATAAATGATGACCAAAGTAGGACTTTCATGCCAGAAGTCCCGTTCAATCAAAATCACGATTTGTAAGAACAAGTGGTGCCACTAGTGTCCAAACATACAGCACGATGCCAATCCAACTAGACGATATTTTCACCCAGACAGCAGTCCACTGACTTTTCATTGCGTGAGAGGGCTCATACCTAAAATTTAAGGAAAAACAAAAAGAGAAGGTGGGGGAAGAGTGTTGTATCATCAGCCATAAAGGTACTAACTTTATTCAGAAATATTCTTTAGTAGCAGCAATCTGCTGCTTTGCTTTCCACAAATTTAATGGTGTTTCTTTTAATGAAATAACAAGCCTTTTAAAAAATATATATATATATGTTTTAGTTGTAGATGGACACAATATTATTTTTTGTGGTGCTGAGGATAGAACCCAGGGCCTCAATCGTGAGAGGCAAGCACTCTACCACTGAGCTACAACCCCAGTCCCAGGAACAAAAGCCTTTTAAGTAGTTCTTTTGCATGATTCTGAATTACTTTATATTATTTCTTGCAAGTGAAACTGAATATGACCTCTGTATAAACAGATAATACACATGAAGACTGTTCAGAATGTATATGGAATACCACACCCAACCTATCTCCACCCACTTCCCTTGCTTCTTAGATTTACAGACTGAGTAAGAAACAGACCCCAAATTGAGCTGACTTTTAAGTAATGAAATATACCAAAAAATCTTTGCTCTATAAGTCTTAACAATTACTATTATCTAACAACCACACTGAATTATTGAGAACTATTAGGATTCTTGCAGCTTAATGATATGGCATAGGAATTTAAAAAAATATTTTCAATACTATATATCAGTAAAAGCTGCTCTTAAAAAAAAAGCAGCAAAGAATAATCTTTTTTCTTCATCTTCAGGTGGTACTGAAAGTAATCTTACACATTATCTAAGAATATTATGCATTAAAAAATAATTAAACGAATTGCCTGATACTTGAAGAGAATCACTAATCATTTGGACAAAATCATACTTTAGATTTTTAAATTTTCTATTTCAGTCACTTCAAAATTTGGAACTATTTCAATGTTTCCATTATTGCTAAAGCAAGAAAGTCAAGTCTGCATTTCTTGTGCTGCTCTCACTGTTCACTTAGCTGTAAATTTTGAAATATATTAGAGGATTGGATTAAAAAGTATTTTGAATCCAATCATGTTTTAAAACAACTATAAGAAAAAAATAAGAATTCTCTCATCTGAAGTTTTTATAAAATATAAGTACCTGTACCAGTTGGTAAGGGTCATCATGATATAAAGGGAAGCCAGGAAAAGCATGAAATGAAAGAAGGAATAACTGTAAGTGACACCATCCCTTTCATTATCTATAGCTCGGTGAACATCATCACCATCCTCCAGTGATCCATCACTTCTGGCTCCACCATCTTCTATTAATGTGGATTCGTCACTTGTTAGAGTCAGTTTATTAACCTGACTATTGTTTGAAGTACGGATGCTGTGTTAAAGAGATGACAAAAAGTAAATGATTTTTTCAAAAGTGATTCCTAAATCAATAGCTTGACTTCCTATTTAAAAAATTAGTTTTTCTTACCTTGAATAAAACACACACAATAAAAAGAGGATTAGTCCTATAATTCCTTGAGCATGCCACCACTGGAAAGACTGCCCATCCTTTGGGATAGAGCTTGTGATATTAAAGCCAATTATGCTTAGTAGACTTGGGTTACAATCTGTTTCTGTAAAGTAAATGAAAGTCAAAATAAAATGTTAAGAATAATGGAATTACTTAAGGCACAGGGTTCTCTTTCTACCACTGCAAATTCAAAAAGTTTTGCTGGAAAAAGCATAATTATAACAATAAAATTCTTGAGGATAATTTGTATTCATTAACAAGACAAAAGATTTTTTGTTTTTGCTTTATACTGTTCATTTTACAGATAAGCACTTGGGAAAGTTTGTTCATTCTATTTTCAACCTGTGAAAGATACAATCTCTTTATATATAGAAGATGGATAAATTCAGATGACCTAATGTTAGTAAAATTCTAGTAATTAGGAAAAAAATGTTCTAAATCATAATGCACTGGCTTTTCTACCATGTGTTGCGGAATTACAATACTGACTTCATAAAATTTATCAATTTGTCAGAAGTACACTATAAAAGCAAGAAGTGATTTCTTGAAGAAATGACAAAAGAGATATAATAACTTAACATTTAAAAAAAAGATTGTCAAAGTTTATTAAAGTGTCCAAAATATATGTATTTTTTCTTCCCACAAAGCCAGATCTGGTAGTCTTCATTATCTTATTGAAAACTAGAGAAGGCTCATCTCCAACACAAATGACTAATAATTTTCTATAACCACTAAGGAAAAAAATTAGAAATCTTTCTCTAACAAGTAATAAAGCATTTAAAATTCTGTAAACTCAATGTGATTCAGAACATTTTTCTTTTGTGTGTGTACACCAATATGTATTATGTATGTATTTATTCGTGTATATATACATATGTATATATACGTATAAATAATACATATTTATTTTAGGCAAAGAACATTTTCTTCCTTTTCTAAAAGTAATCTATCTCCCCAAATAACAATATGTTGATTATTGTTCTCATGGAATGCCAATAAAAAGATTTGTTATGAAATCCAATTATATTCAATTTCAAGGGAGTCAGAGAAAAAGAAGAATGTGAAAAATTATACTAAAGTCAAAAATCAATGAGATTTTTCTTCCTATACATAACTCTTATTTCTTATAATTTCCTTATAATTTTGTTGGTGAAGGAAAAAAATTAGTGAAAAAAATGGTAATAACTCAAGGATAAAATGTTATTATTATTATTATTATTTTTTTTAGAGAGAGAGAATTTTTTTTAATATTTATTTTTTAGTTATCGGCAGATACAACATCTTTGTTTGTATGTGGTGCTGAGGATCGAACCTGGGCCGCACTCGTGCCAGGTGAGTGTGCTACCACTTGAGCCACATCCCCAGCCCTGAAATGATTTATGTACATGCTTTATTCTTCTAGGAGCCTAAATTTTAAGCAGCTTAACCTCCCCAAATAACCACCTCTGAATAAAAGGAAATACTGCGGGACTCACTGAAATTAAATAAATAAAAACAAAACATACCTGGCTCATTGGTCATAGCAGACCAAGTCAAATACATTGTATAGATTGTAATTACTGAAGACTGTAACAAACCAGATCTTGGTTGTGACTCCTATGAACAAAATGTTAAACAATATGGATGAATATCTGACATCATTTGAGATTTATGAAGATTCAGAAAGGTGTAAGTTGCATAAAAAGTGATACTATGAAGAGCATACCTGGATTTTTGGCAGAATAGACATTATAGAAGCACCAATGCAGAGGAGCATATTGACACTGATGAATGCCTTATTTTCTGAACAACTGGCTGGATGAGTATAGTAGACAAAGAACAAAACGATGGCTACCAAAGACAGCAGATAATTCAGAGCTGTAGCTGATAATAAGGCTGTGGAAAATAATACAATTAAATAATAAGATTTTTTCACAAATATTAGGAACTGATATGAATTCCTATCAATTTATCAATAAGTTATATTTTAAGTCACTAACAATGCAGGCTACAAAAGCAAGGAAGAAAATTCATCCTGAATTCTATCACTGAATAATTCTACAGTCTGTACATATTTTCAAGTATGATAACACTAGTATGATTTTTTTCATTAGGAATATCTAACAATTTACAAACCATGTTCATGTACATTAGGCATTATTTTTAGAATAAAGGTAACTAGAACAAGAATACTATTAAAAGAACTATAATTATTCAGTTATACATAGGGCATGAAAAAACAAAAATATTTTCATTGTTAATGCTGAACCTACAAAACAATGATGCTTTTCCTTAACAACTAAAATCTTAAAATTCAATATACAAAACATGCATTTTCTTTGTGCTAATATGTGTTCAATGTGTAAGAATTTGTTAGAGTTCCCTCACTGACAAGGCATCCATTCAATAATTGTCTGTTGAATGCCTACAACATTCCAGGTCCTGGGGAAATAGCAAAGAACACACAGACAGAAACTCTTGGACTTTTCAATGAAGAATGAGGCTATGTAAGTGAAATTTCCAAAAGACTAAAAGCCAAACAACATAAACTAGGTGTGTGAGAGAAAAATTAGGTTATCAGATTCACTGGATTTGGCTTGTACTGTTTTAAAGATTTTGTTACCTAAAACCCAGATTACTTTCCCTAAAAATTCAAATGTATGGCTTAAAACAAAACAAAACAAAAAACAAAAAGAATCAAACAAAGATGAGTTCATGTTCCCTGAGTACAATTAATACATGGAGCTGAGCAGTAACCACACTTTTGTTGGGACAGTCATACTCTCCAATTCATCGCAGTCTCTACTATTTGCATAAGGATTGAGACTCTCTTCCTTTATTTTTGTTACTTATTTGGCTCTTGTAAGCATCTGAATTTTGACCCACATTTTTAGTGTAAACGTAAGACTCAAGCTCATTGTTATAAGTAAATAAACTTTTAATTTCACTACTATAGAAATCTCCTTAGGAGTTAACTGACACACATAATAGAATCCTTTACAGGAATCCTATACATATATATATATAAAACATCCCAAAGTTTTTACACCTTTTCTGTTTGTTGTTTTTTATAAATTCTATCACCATATGTTTATTTCTAGGAGTACTCTTCCTTTTAAAATTTTACTTTTAACCTGATATAAACCAGGAAGTTAGGCTAGAAATTGCACATGATTTAAGCAATAGGCTTTGAAACATTTATTATTCCTATTTAGATTCTTAGATAACAATGTTCCCAGTTAATCTATCAAAAGATTTTCAACAAGTTAAATTGCTGATACAGTGTGATGTGGTGTTATTCACAAACTTAAAATGAAAAGCCAGAAGAAATTAGACTATAAAAATTGTTAAGTGTTGGGCTGGGATTATGGCTCAGTGGTAGGGCGCTCCCCTAGCACAGGCGGGACCGGGTTGGATCCTGGGCACCACATAAAAAAAAAAAAATAAAGGCATTGTGTTGTGTCCATCTACACCTAAAAAAATAAAAACTTAAAAAAAAAAAAATCCTAAGTGATTTCCCTCTAGTCTCATGCCTGTTTTTACAAAAGTTCAAGTACATCATAGATGTTTTGTGAGAGGAAAGCTTACCTGCATACCAACATCTCGAGTTCCCTTCTTCCATTTTTTCAACCCATGATTCATTCCATGAATGGGCAAAATCAATAAGTAAGACTAGCTGTATGAGGATGAAACAAAAGGCCCCTGCCATGCCTACATAAAACCATACTGAAAGAAAAAAATAGCATACATACAAGTGAATTTAGTTATTATTATTTCCTTTCACAATCTCAGTACACAAAAGGGAAAATAGAATTTAAAGCCTTGATTTTGCAACTGGGAAAAAAAAGTAAACAAAATGAGTTAAAGAGCTAAGTAACAATTATTATTTCAGTTTTATTCATAAAATATCATACCAAACAACAACAAAAAATTCTTACCAGTTGTAAAAGTTCCTTCTGGAATGAAGAATGCCCCAATAATAATTGCAATTGCTGCCGCAAATTTAAAGAACCAGAATCTAAAATGAAAATAAATATAATATTTATTTATAAACATCCAACAAATAATCTCTTTTTTTTTTAAAGAGAGAGAGAGAGAGAGAGAGAGAGAGCGAGAGAGAGACAATTTTTTTTTTAATATTTTAGTTTAATTTTTTAGTTCTCGGCGGACACAACATCTTTGTTTGTATGTGGTGCTGAGGATAGAACCCAGGCCACACGCATGCCAGGCGAGCGCGCTACCTCTTGTGCCACATCCCCAGCCCAAATAATTTCATATATGAAATATTATAAGGGAATCTTAAAGAACAGCTATACTTCGCACTTTATAAAACTGTTCAATTCTTTCTGAGGATACCCTGAAAATCATAAAAGAGTATTACATAAACTGCATTTTAGATAGTTTTAAGAAAGGTATATTTGCAATTAACTCATGAGAATATTTGTTTATTTAATATAAGAAGTGGGATACTAAAAATACTTTTTTAAAAAAACTGGAGAAGTATACAGGTTAAACACTAATGTTTTAAAAAATTAATATAAAAATGAAATTTTAATAAAGATATGATAAATGCCTCCATTTAAAACAATAATTTTAAACAATCAATGAGTAAAAGAACAAGACGAGAGGGCTAGGGATATAGCACAGTTGGTAGAGTGCTTGCCTCACATGCACAAGGCCCTGGGTTAAATCCCCAGCACCACACACACACACACACACACACAAAAAGATGAAATAAAAACTATCACATCATATTTCTCATTAATATTAATATTCCATTTGTTTATTCCTAGGTGTTACCAGAAAAGCAATAGCAGATATGTTTTAAAACATTAATGCAGGGGGGGAAGGGGGGTGAAGTTTCTTTCTGGGTTGTCCAGTACAATTGATCAATACCCTGTTCCAGAGATAAAGTTTTACATTTTGTCTACATTGTAGGTCTAGGAAACTGAGAATTCCTTTTAACAGCAGTGATCCACCAAAGGCTAAAAGGAGAAGGAACAGCTCTTTCTTAGTCGTGCATATATATATTTTCTTTTTAAGATTAAAATGTAAAACATTATAAATAACAGGTTATACCAACAAATAACCCAAAGCTGTAACTTAACACCCAAATCTGACATATTTTAGTAGAAGCAAAAGTTTTCTTACCTTACTCGTGAACAGACAAAATAATTCTGCAAATTATATTTATTTTGCTTTAAATTTCTTTTATTTATTTTTTTGGTGCCAGGGATTGAACCCAGGGGTACTTAACCACTAAGCCATATCCCCAGCTCCTTTTTGTATTTTATTTAGAAATAGGGTTTCACTGAGTTGCTTAGGGCCTCACTAAGTTGTTGAGACTGGCTTTGAACTCATGATCCTCCTGCCTCAGCCTCCTAAGCCACTGAGATTACAGACATGTGCCACCATGCCTGGCTACTTTAAAATTTCTTTAAGCAGAATTAGTGAAGAGGCTATCCAGAATTTTATATTGAAGTTTATTCAAAACTCACCCATTATGTATTGCAGCTCTAGGATCACTGCTGCTCTTCACTTTGATCATTAGCAAAGAGAGGAGAAGATAGAACATAGCCAAGCCAAAGCACAAACGATATACAGCTTTATAGCCAACCAGAATACTACAAGGAACAACACCTTTCTCATTCTCACAAAATCCAGGAATCTAAAAAAACAAAAATGAATTTGTGATCCATATGTTTTCATTAAAAGATGAAAATTCTGTAATCAAATAAAGATTTGAAAATTTTAAGTTTTCTTTATAGTTTATGAAGAATATGTAATCAAGATTAAGCCTGGTATTTTTTTTTAATATTTTTAGTTGTAGATGGACACAATACCTTTGTTTATTTACTTTTATGTGGTGCTGAGGATCAAACCCAGTGCCTCACATGTGCTAGGCAAGTTCTCTACCCCTGAGCTACCACCCCAGCACAAGCCTGGTATATTTTAATCAGATAAAATTAACAAAGAGGTAAACTTCTATGTGATCAAATGATAAAACACCAATGTTAATCCTAAACTGGATGTTTGAGTTGGAGATTAATTCTCAATTTTTACAACTTGTATTCTACTGTGATAGACTAAATTTTTTTTTAAAGAGAGAGAGAGAATTTTAATATTTATTTTTTAGTTATTGGCAGACACAACATCTTTGTTTGTATGTGGTGCTAAGGATCGAACCCAGGCCACACACATGCCAGGCTAGCATGCTACCGCTTGAGCCACATCCCCAGCCCCGTGATAGACTAAATTAAGAGAAAAAAATAAAGTCAATAAAAGTTTTAAAGAATCAGAATAACCAAGTTTGTTTCTAAGAACTAAAGTTAAGTTCATTTTGAATTTTGGTCCCTTATTCTGTAAGTGCTATTTCTAACCATGAATAGATTTGATTTAACATGGATAGCAGTCATTTTATATTTTAACTTGGAATCTTGAGAAAGACTGATAACGATTCACAAAGTCAAACTGTAAGGAGCTTGGGATGTGGCTCAGTAGCATAGAGCTTGTGTGATATGTAACGCCTTGGGGTTTGATCACCAGCACCACCCAAAAGAAAATGTCATACTGTAATCAGTACAAAAAAGACTTTGAAAATAACCCAGGGTATTGTCCATAACTACATTATTCATATATTTGACAATAAATTATTTCTTAACACTCCTTTCAGTCCCAACACTTGAAAGATTCATGACACTAGTCATGTAAGAGTTCTCAAATCTTAAGGTCTACTCCTAAGGACTGTTCATCTCTTGGTTCTTCTGTTCTTATTGCTCCTTCAGAGGTTCTCCTTTCTCTATCAACCCCTTTAATAACTTTTGGCAAAGTTCTAGTAGCACTGCTCATTCTGAATGGTCTTGTTCAGCAGATGCTGTCAGGGTTTCAACTTTTATCTGTAACTCCAAGATAACTTCTATCTCTGATTTCTCTGAGTTATACAACATGTTTTCTGCTTCCTGCCAGATGTGTACTGTTATGTATTTCACATAGATGTCTGCCCAAAATTCCTATGTTGAAATCCTAATCCTTGATGGGATATTATTAGGAAGTGGGGTTTGGGGAGAGGTTAATTAGATCTCGAGGAGAAAGCCCTCATGATGAGATTAGTGACTTTATAAAAAGTTAAAGAGAAGCCTATATGTGCTTTTCCACCATATGAGAATATAAGATGGCCCTCTGCAAATCATTAAGAATACCTTCACCATGCTTCAACCATGCTGGCATCAGAAAAATTTCTGTTGTTTAAGCCTATGGTATTCTTGCTATACTAGCCTGAATTAAGATATATAGATATACACATGTATATGATGCAGAATCTCCATGTCATGTGCTAAAAACTAAATTTACTATATTTTTCCTAGCTCCTTTCACAATCTGATTCCCTTAAAAAAAAAAAAAAGAAAACAACATAAAAAATAAAATACCTTTATTTTTCATTCTGCTGATTTTCTAGGATCAGATCCTGATTGTTATTTATGATTCCATCACTATCAATATTTAAATGCCAGCCAGATTCAGTCAACTCTACACCCATAAAAAACTAGTTTAAGGGGCTGCGGCTGTGGCTGTGGCTCAGCAATAGAGCGCTTGTCTAGCACGTGTGAGGTGCTAGGTTTGATCCTCAGCACCACATAAAAATAAATAAATAAAATAAAGATATTGTGTCCAACTACAAACTAAAAAAATATTAAAAAAAAAACTAGTTTAAGACCTCTATAAAATAATGCTAATCAATATTTTAATCAATTTTATTTTAACTTAGAATCGTAAATGACTAATAACCACTGCAGTCATACTGTAATCTAATTGATTAGAATATAAATGCTAATCAGTATTCTATAAAACAGCGCTAATCAATGTAATGGCCTCCGGATTTAACTGCTTGACTTCTATCCTTCCTAATTACCAGTATTAATCTTCCTAAAGCATAGATACTCTGCTGGAGATGCTTCCTAATTTTCTATCTATGCAAACAAAATTTCTACTTATTTTTAGAATGTCCCATTTTCAGGGCTAAATTATGGCCCCTTTTCCATGATACATGATGAGATTCTGTCATCATTTCTTTCCTTGGATTATCACAGCACTTTTCTCTACCACCATCACGAAACTTAATGCGCGACCTTATATTGTCTCTTTCCGAAAAGTTATGAGCTACTAAAATTTTTGTAATTACACATTATTTATTTTTACATTAGTCTTTTTTTAATACCCAAATATCAGGTTTACGCATATTCTACAGTTTCAAGTAATCAATCAGTAAAAAAAAACTAACCTTATTTAGTTGTTCTTCCATTCCTGGTATCAACATTACACAAGCTACACATACTCCAACAAGCAAAAAAAGTGCATAGATCAATCTAGTCACTGTGGAGTTGTTTCCACTGGGACAGCATCGGCATAGCAAACATGGGGCACTACCACACAGACATGGTATCTGAGAAAAAGAAAATTATTTTATAAGTACAGTTTAAATTATTTAATGAAATTTTATATCCAACCTGTTCAAAGAGGGGGAGGACTGACCAATTACCAAGGTACAAAAAGTATTTGATTCATATGTATTATCTACAAACTAAAAAAACTTAATAACTTTTATGTAAAGAAAGAACAAAGTCAAGCATAAAAAGCCCTTGATCTCTATTCCAAGTAAAATGAATAAAATTACTTCAAATAACACAAGGAGAGAAATAATCCGCAAGAAACAAAATTTAGCCATGATATAGAATATTAGTGAGTAGCACAGATGCTAAGTCAACTTAGAGCCCCTGTCCCTTAGTCCTCAGCTATCATAATATACATACCTATATATAAGTCACAGGAAGGAAGTACTGTACAAAACAGACTCATAATAACTGATAAAACACAGAAAACAGAGATATTGTATATTAAGCATCCGTAGATCAGAAATGTATGTCACAGCAACTATATAAGCCTACTCTTACCAAAAATTAAATATAAACATCTCCCTTCAGATAAAGAAAGATAGAACTTTGAAATAGTAAGTCAGTAAGAAAATTCCCTATCAGTATTTCATTTGAGTTATGGAGAAAAAGCTAAAGGCTTAAAAAATTAAAAAGGGAGACCTAAAAAAGGTAATAGCAGAAGATGGAAAGAGGAATCACACAGCTAAGAAATGAGAAGTGGGAAAACAAAGAATAACTTTGGTACCAAGGAACAAAAGCATAAAACTGAAGAAAAATAAGACTTGCAGTAAGTACCAAAATTCAGACCAACCTCCTGCCTTAACAAGGAAAAATAAATAAATAAATGTAACAATAGTATTTCAGACAATAACAATAAATGTAGGACAATAATTTCTGAGAGGAGACACCTTGAGCTCTGTGATTGGCCAGTGCAGGAATGGTCTACATGACTTGGGGAGATAATTGGGAATTTGGGGAAGTTAAGGCAGCTAGAATTCCTAGGTCAAAATCCTGGAGAAGATAAAGCTACACAGACAGCAAGCTCTAGCTGACCACTGGTTGACATGTGCATTTGCAAAAATTACTCAAGTGGGTCGAGGCAGCTGGTTCCTGGGAGTTTTATCACCTAGAGTGAAAAAATATATATTTTAATCCTTGAAGCCCTGGGCAGAGAAATAACACAGGGGAGAAAGAAAAAAAAATCTGCCATTTTATTTAAGGTTGTACTTGTTTCAGTTAGCAAAGCTTAAAAGTAACGAAAAAACCAAATTCTCTCCCAATAACTCACCTATGTCCAAAACAAAGATCAAGAATTTATTTTTTAAATATGTAAGTATATCTTATCTAACACTCAGCAAGGTAAAATTTCTGTAACATCTATTTAAAAAACTAGCAGGCATGCAAAGAAGTAGGTAAATATAATCCATAAAGAGATTCAATTAGTCAAAACCAACCTGGAAATAACAGATTACTGAGTTAATAAAGAGGGTTTTGTAATATTATTATAACTATACATTACATGCTCAAGGAAATAGAGGAAAACAAGTGGAGGAGGGACATGAAAGATAATTTAAAAGAACCATACCAACTTAAATATCTTAACCCAAAGAATACTGGTAAGACAGAGAACTAAAGTTTAGTGAATCTGAAGATACAGCAATAGAAAAGATCCAAGATGAAAAACTGATAAAAAGCATCACACCATTGCCAGATAACTTTAAAATGAATATAAGTAAAACTAGTATCTGCCAGTCAGAAGAAATTGTCAAAATTTCCCAAATTTAACAAAAATTATGAACTTCCAGATCCAAATTCAATGAAGCCCTAACAAAAGAAGCATGAAACTATATCAATAACACCACGGTCAACTGCTTAAAGACAATGACAATCAGAAAAATAAAGGCAGATTTTATACAGAGGGAGAGAGAGAGAAATCACACTTCCAATGAACACTTTAAGCCAAAAGATAATATAGGTTTAGTCTGGGAAAATTAGGCTGGTTCAACTTGAAATATTAATCAATGAAATTCATCAGATTAAGATGAAATAAAAGCCACTATATGTTCATCCCAATAAATGTAAAAAAGAATACTTGACAAACTTCAATGTCCATTTGTGATCAAATATCAGCAACAAGGAATAGAACAGAACATCCTCAACTAGATAAAAGGCATTTGTAAGTATCTGTTGCTCTCAATTACATTTAATGCTTTAAGTGTAAATGTATTCCCCCTAACTTCTGAAACAAGGCAAAGAAATCTGCGTTTGCCACTTGTATTCATACTTTCACACTGAACATCCTAGCCAGTACAATGAGGGGGACAAAAAAGACACACAAATCATAATAAAAGACATAAAACTATCTTATTCACACTTAATACAATTGACTACATAGAAAATCCTAAAGAAACTATAAAAATGCAACTATGATTAACAAGCAAACCTAATAAGGTCATAAAGTAAAAAGTTAACATACACATATCAAACGTTAAAAAACGTTTTATCATATAAAAATATGATAGCTACAAACAATTAGAAATTTAAATTAAGCAAATAATAAAAGCAATATATAGGTATAAATCTATCAATGTATACATAAGATTAAAGCTATGAATATCAAAATATTGGTGAAAGATATCAAAGACCTAAATAAATGGCAAAATATGCTGTGTTCATGGATGAGAAGATTCAATATTTTTAAAATATCAATTCTTTACAAACTGATCAGTTTCAAACCAACTCCAATGATACTCCCAACAACAGTTTAATAATAAACTAGTTACTTTAAAATGTATATGGAAAAGGATCTATAATACCTCAAAACTGTTTTTTAATAAAAGTATAAAATTTGGAAAACTCACACTACTTGATTTTAAGATTTTTTTGTTTGTTTGTTTGTATTTTTTTGGTACTGGGGATTGAAACCAGTGGACACTTAACCACTGAGCCACATCCCCAGCCCGCTTTCTTAATTTTTATTTAGGTATAGGGTCTCACTGAGTTGCTTAGCACCTCGCTAAATTGCTGAGGTTGGCTTTGAGCCTTCTAAGCTGCTGGAATTACAGGCGGGTGCCACCATGCCCAGCTTTAAGATTAACTTTAAAGTTATAGAAATCAGTACAGACACAGAGTGCTATAGATGAAAAGAATAGACACATAAAGAACAAAGAGTACAGAAATAGACTTGCAACTATGGTCAAAGGATTTTTGACAAAGATGCCACAGCAAATAAAATTGGAAAGAATAATATTTTAACAAATGGTGCTGAAGTAACTGGATATCCATATATTTTTAAAAAGTGAACTTTATAATCAAACCATATATGAAAATTCACTTAAGATTTTCTGGTTATAATACAAAACCACCCACAAAAGAAAAAAATTGATAATGTGTGCCTCATTAAAATTAAGATAGTATTCAGAAGATGAAAGGCTATATGCCTCATACTTGGAAGTCAGGTATATGATAAATCATTTTCATCTAGAATTTAAAAGGAACTCTCAAAACTCAGAAACAAACCAAGCAATTAAAAAATGGTCAAAACATTTAAACAGATAACCTTACCAAAGTAGATATAAGAATTGCAATTAAGTTCCTATGATGCCCTTTTCATGCCTGTTTCTTGGAAGTATTTAAGTGACCCTAAGACTTAGTTCTGAGATCAAGAATGGGATTTTTTTTTCCTTTTATAAACATTTCTATATGAACTCTTAATAATCACCTCTTGGATATCTGGCCTAAACCGGAATATGACTATGTCTTCAAGGGCTTTTTCACTTGAGTGTGGGACTTAATTCATCTCAAGCTGTAAGTTCCATATCAACTCCACCTATTATTATATCTTCTTATACTACATGCTCTAGAACTATTGTGTCCTTGACCTTGACCAATTTATACCTCTCTTATTTCTGCTTCTCTTGCTGTCTTTTCTTCTATCATTGTAAGGGCTTTTGGAAGTCTGTTGTCTATCCTGTGGTTCTTTTTTGACAGTCTTTACATTTAGCAAATGTTATAGTCTTTGGTTGAAACTGAATAAAAATATGGATTCATTGATTCAAATTCAAAGACTGTCTTCCATAAAATTCCAGGCAGCATGAACCAGGGTTTAACTAACTTCACATTCTAAGACTTATAAGTACAATCACAATGTCTTATGGGGATAGTTGACATGAACACAATGTCCCATCTCCTTTAGCAGCCTCTTTTCTGCCTTAAAACTTTTTATGGTGTTAATGTAGTTCTGATCAATGATCAGGGGCTGGGAGTTCTTTCTGCTCTTAACTGGGAGAGGTGGTAGAATATATTAATCACATCTCTTTTTCTTCCAGATGCTTTAATTTTCAATGAAAGATTAATACAGGCCATGACAACAATCTCAAAACTATTGATGAGAGATTTGGAGTTGAAGAAGTGGAACAGCATTTGCCTTGTTGCCTTTTTCAACCAGAGGAGGATGCTGGAGGCCTGGATGAGTGCTCAATGTTAAGTAACACTTCAGGGTACAGGGGGTGGCTGATCAGGATACTGTCCATGGTGCAGGAGCAAGAAATTCCTGTGTATGGGGAGTACAGTACACAGCAGGCTGGTGACATCAAGATTCCATGGTCCTAGGTAGTTGCCTTCATGCCTAAGGCAGCTGCAGCCTGGCAAGACTAACAGCACAACCTTAGGCAGCAAGCATGTCTACCTCCTGGGAGACCTAACTTCTAAGGACAGATCAACCATTAAACGCATCTAAACTTACTTAGACATGCAAATAGCTGGGGAAAAGTCTGGGGTTATTAATTAGTTTAATACACAGAAAATAAAGCAAGCAATAACATCAATGAATATAAAAAGTTGTAGGTGAAAGGAAAAATTAATGTATATTTATTACACGGATGAACTACAAAGAACATTATAAGTAATAAAAATAATAAAGAGCTAACATTTAAATGCTTACAATAGTTTTACATATATTAACTCATTTAAATAGTCACAACTTATGTTTAACTAAAATTATAAGTATTATGGAAAGATAAGGGGACATAATAATTATGTATGTATGACTTTGGTAAGGGTGCAGGATGAAGGCCAGTTGAAATCAAGGAACAGGTGTTAAGTCTTAATCTTCCAGTTAGATGACAATGTCTAAAACAGAACAAAACAAACTAAAAGGCCCTCCAAATTAGGCATATATAATATAAATGTTACTTAGAAATACTGAGATAATATTCTAAAGAAAGACTGCCTCCCAAAAGTGAAAATGTGAGTACACTGTCTTTTCTTAAATCACAAAGAACAATATGCTTGTAGAATTCTGAATTAAAAGGTCATTAATAAAAGCTAGGATATACTTTATATACAACCAAAGATATGAAAAACTGTTCCGTATATGTGTAATAAGAATTGTAATGCATTCTGCTGTCATTTATTTTTTTAAAAAATCAATTTAAAAAAAGCTAGGATATAGAAGAATGGATGAATACTAAATTTTTATACCTCTTTATTAGTGAATTTAAAATTAAAATGTCCTTAAAATGTGTCTGACATCAATGTTTCATACAATCTTTTGTCTAAACTTAGGATTTCTCAACCATGAGACTACTGACATTTTGAGCTGAATAATTCTTCATGGCTGGGGGCTGCCTTGTATATTGCAGAATACTTAATAGCATCCCTGGCCTCCACCCAGGAGATGCAAGTGGCATTCCTCACCTCAAGCTGTGACAACAAAAAAATGTTTGCAGACACTGTCAAATGTCCCAGCAGTAGGTGTAGGGACAAAATCAAGCATTACTGAAAGCTACTGCTATAGAATCACCTCCTTAGAGGTACCTGTTTAGGAAACTCTCCTGATTTAAAAAAAAAAAAAAAAAATCAGCAATTCTTTAAGTTTAAATTCTTTAATTCTTCTCTTTGGTTAAATTAAAGATAAACTCAATTTATTGCTCTGCATAACATGTTTAGCATGCTACCTTTCCTAAAAATTAAGAGCTGGGGAAAAGTCTGGGGTTAATTAGTTAAATACACAGAAAATAAAGCAAGCAATAACTTCAGTGAATACAAAAAGTTGTAGGTGAAAGGAAAAATTGTTGTATATTTATACATAGATGAACTAATGAACATTCTATGTAATAAAAATAATAAAAGAGCTAACATTTAAATGCTTACAATAGTCTATTCATCCATCTATTGTGATATATGCATTGACAGAAGAAATGAAATTGGTGATGAGATTTTTTTGGTGATTTTAAAATGTTCTTTATAGTCTGAATTGCTTGGCTCTTCACAGCAACTATGAATCATTTCTACAAAAAAAGTCACTGTATTAAAAAATAAAAACTAGCAGAGGCTGGCAAAAAATAGGCACTCAGTAATCACAAGCTCTTTGGGCAAAAAAACGATAATTGTTGAATTACAAGGTCCAGTCACTCTTCTATTCACCAATACCAATGACCAATGTCAAGATTAGGATGGGGGAAGTGCCTCATTAAAAGTGACTAGTAATTTTTCTCTCATATTTTTCATAGTTCAGAAATGTTCTACAATTATAAGAAAATGACTTTCACTAAATTTGATTAAACCTATAGAAATCTATGCAAAAAAAAAATGAGGTTGTTTTGTTTGTAGTTCTATATTACCTGAGTAATTTAATGATGTGAATGAGTTTTGAAAATTTGAATAATTTTAATTTTATTAAAACTTCTAAGTAAATGAACATGTTAACTGTTTAGAATGTGGAAGAGATTGATTTGTGTATCAGAAGGCAAATCTCATTACTACAGATATGCACTAAAATTGCATAATTCAGAAATAAAAAGACAGAAGCATGTAAAAAACATAGGAAAGAATGGACTCATATTACACACTATGAATTCTTAAGTCAGCCATAATGACTTAGAAGCATGATATGCAATGCTGGTCATCTAGCTTTCTCTATTTTTTTAGAGACCTCATTATCATAAGGTAAGAAAACTGCTTACATGATACTACCTTTTCAGAGTATCTAATTAACACTGACTAAAAGGCAGTGTCAGTTTTATCAAGGGCATTCTTCTAGTCAACAAAAGTAGTTGTATATACTTGTTCTCTAAAGCTATCTTCTTCCTGACTTAAGACATACATAAAAAAAAAAAATTCTTAAAACTTACATACATCAATTTTCCTGGAGACAAAAAATGTTGTTCACCACTGAACTCAAGAATGAGAATACAATGGAAAACACATATCCCTCTTTTTAAGTCTATACAATCTACAAAGAAAACTGGACAAAATCTGATATTACAAATATGATTACATAATCTTACCAAAAAATTAAGGACAACAATCTCATGATAATCACTTATTAAATATAGTACTTCTTATTACACTAAACTCATCCCTTTTGTATAAAAGACTCAATATAGACTCAACTAGACGCTCAATATTTTATTGGGATAAAAATAGGTTTCCATACTCAACTGCAAGAATACAACATAGTCAAGAGAATGGGCTAGACTAACAACTTCGATATAATTTTTTGATTAAAATTTAACATTTACAGTTCAAACCACAATAAAACGTTTTTTGAAAAGATGTTAGGTATGTGAAATAATCACTATATGGGTTAATGTATATTAATGGAATTACTCAGGTAGTCTGAGGAGCAATTGTTAGAAATGGAATTTAAAAATCACAACATTTTAATCTAAATACTTCACCCAAAGTTACATCTTTATTAATGTGCTGCCAATATTCTGTCTTAATTTTTTTGGAAGGAGAGAAAGTTAGCTTTTAAAAACTGAGGTTATGTGTGCCACTTGGATTAAGAAATCTTGCAACTATAAATGAAAATGGTTTCACACTTACGACTCTGTAACTAACGAAAATGAAACACACCCCCAAAAGCACATCAAAATTGGGATTGCACATGTATGCTTTCTGTCAAGACATTTGACACTACCAAACTGAACAGCTTTTCCAGGTGTGTAAAATTATTACTTGAGAAGCACAGTAACTTCCTAATGTCATCAAGGCCAAAGACTCAGTGGCACAGCTAAGACTGTTTATTTCAGAAATGGTATCACTAAATCAATGCCAGGCTGTCATAGATAACGAACACTTCTTAAATGTAGTCGGCCGGTCAGAACAAAGAGGCCTGGTCCAGGGATGGCAGTGCCGCAGTCTGAAGTCGCCCGGTTAGAGATGACAAAAAAAGATACGAGTTCCCGGCAGACGGAAAGGCCGAAGCCTTTGAAGAGAAGGCCTAGGCAGACACAAAAGGCGGCCTACCTAAAGGGTCCGAAAGAAAGGGAGGCAGTTTTTATGAAACCGGTGGGGGAGGGGACTACAGCTCGCTCCATCTTTGCGATCTGGTTCACCTTCAATCTGCACTGCATCTCACGATCCCCATGGTAAGTTCTTCGCAAGGCCCAAGGCCCCGAAATTGAATCGGAGTGACCAGAGGAGAAGGGAAGAAAATGGGGACAGAAGGCACTCCCTGTTGGGTGGGGTAGCTCGTTCCCGCTGGGCCTCACCCAGCCCTGCTCTGGTGGCTCTCTCCTGTCTCTCACGCTAGCATCCGGGACGCTGAAAAGATCCAACTCACCCAGCTCGCCATGGAGCACAGCCCCAGAACACTGCCCATCTTCACAGCGTCGCAAGAACTGCGAGCGCCGACAAAATGGAGACAGTCTCTTTCTTGCTTTTCAGGGCTTATTTACTATCTGAGAGACACTTCTTGCGCAGAGTCCAGCCCGCCCCTCCGTGTCACGTCACTTCCTGCGAAGCGTTCCTGGGACGTGACGCGAGAACTACGCCGACACTGCGCGTGCACACCCCTGGGCGGCGACCTACGCTGGCTTCTTGATAGATTCCTATTCTGCAGACTGCTGTTTGGAGAACTCTGGCGACGTAGGGCTGAACGTAGTTTCTCAAATTAAGAAAACAATGTGAGGAGAATCTTTACTTACCATTTAGTTGCTTTTGAGCATTAATAGAACACAGAACTGAAGTGGTGTTTGACATTTTGCTTTCCTCCATCAGTTACCTTTCCGCTTAAAGATAGCTTGTTTTCTCTACCTCGGTGTTTATCTGTCCCACCTCCACTTATTTCTAATTTCCTCCCCTTTAGCGACTGTTTTGCTTCTTTCGTACGCAATTTATTCCTGCAGCTAACTACCTGGGACAAATTTTATTGGGATGTTTATATTCATCTGGTGTTTTCAGTTCTCTGTATCACTTCTGTTTGTTACTGATGCATATTTTAATTTCTTGTCCTAGTAAGATGTTATATGATGTTTTCACATTTTAAAAAATTCCTAGATGAAACATACTAATTATTAAAAATCAAATATCTTATTGGCTGTCATTAGCTGTTGAAATATGTGGAACCCTTGCCTGTTAGGTGATAATGCACATTCTCAGGGAATATATTCACATAAAATTTCCTTTTTTATTTTTAAATAAAGAATGGTCCTTGAGAATATTCTAGAGGAGGAGTCTAGCACACATGAATAACTTAAACTTGAAATCGTTATTGCCATAACTAATAACTAGAACGTGTCACAAAATAGCTACCAAAACTACGTAGGTGGAGGTAGGGTAATACCTACCAATACGGGAGAACTGCAATCATTAATTGATTAAGAGCAAAAAACAAAGCGGGGGGAAGGAATGGTATTGGATAAGAAAATATTAATTTGCAAATGCTGGACTTAAAGTCTGAAATATAACTCATTTGCTTTTGACATGCAAGCTTGAAACTCAGAAATGAGACACAACATTTAAAGTAATTTACACTGCAGTCATACTGAAAATATAGGACTGAAGAAGATAACCAAAAAGAAATGGTTGAGAATTACCGGACTCCTTAGTATAGAACCAAAGTTATTTTTAACACATGGAATGATTATCAAGTGGGGAAAAGCTATCAACTTAGTTTGTAACTTCTCACTGATTGTGATTGTCATCTTCACACCCCTTGACCGCCAAGTTCTGCATTTTAAACCCTACTTTCAGTATAAGTTCTGAATATAAGGAGATATTCGACTCCTCAGAATCTTAGTATCCTCATTAATAAGAGAGTTGTGAAGATGAACCTTCTAGAACTGAGGAATTAAATGATATAACATGCTTTTATTAATGATAGCATCATGTATAGAGTGTTGTAGAAAACCAACTCAGGCTAATTTCCTTATCAACACTAACATCTGTGACCTGTTAACCTAGGGTAGACATAGCCTCATACAAAGGGAAACATCAGTTTCTCAGATGACTTCCTTAGGTTCCCTAACATTTTCTAGTCTATATCCTGGGGAAGACTAATTTTGTGAATCATAGCTTGGAAGTTTTCTTCCCACACCCCTGGTGCTTGTATGGGTGAGGCCCAGATAACATTTAGTCTTCATTTTTTTATAGATCACCTACTCAGTTGCAATTTTGGATCTAGGGGACCTGTCTTTATTTGCCTATAGTTATTTATATGACACCACTTGTAAAATACATATTTAGTAATAGAGTGATGTCTCAACTATAAAGTCAGTGCTTCCATACACAAGTTTTTTTTTCATATGGATGTTTAATAGGCACTTAAATGTGCCATATCCAAAAGTGAGGTATCACTCCAAAACTAAATATTTTTCAAATTTGAAATATTTTAAAAGCATAACAGGGTAACCAGAATAATGTCAAATCCAAAAACCTTTCATTATCTTCAAGACATGAAAAATTGCAAATGTTATGCTTTTTAATTACAAATGTTCTTGATTGTGTTGCTCCTTCTCCTACCGGAAGAAATGATAACAAATGAATGTTAGGGACCACTAATAATTTGTGCTATGATTCCCTCAGTTTCCTGACTGCATATCACAAATTGCTCTTCAAATTGGTTTTCCCAAACACACCTTCATTAGTGTATGAATTGCCCTACATATTTGTGAACATTTGTGTTTATTACACTTTATTTTTTTCTTTATTTTTTAAATACATGACAATAATGGAATACATTACACTCATTATTACCCATATACAGCACATTTTTTGTAACTCTGTATAAAGTATGTTCACACCAAATTATGCCATTATAATTGTACTCTTTTTTTGCATTACAATTCTTAATACACATATATACCACATTTTTTTCATCTCTGTATATAAGGTATGTTGACACCAAATTCAAATCTTCATACATGTATTTTGTATAATGATGACACACTTTAAATAAGTTGGGAGAAATTTATGTTTGAGTGAAATGTCTATACTATCAACTTGCATTTCCTTGATAACTGTAAGATTAAGAACTTTTCTTTCTTTATTGGCCATCAGGTTTTTTTCAATATATAGTTACTTTTCAAGTCTTATGCAATTTTTCAGTTATTTATATATTCTTTATTGATTTATAGATGGTTTTCATTCATTTTGGATATGAATTCTTTGTTATATATCTTGTAATCATCACGACCCAGTTTGGGATTATTTTTTCAGTTTTTAAATTCTTTAATAACTCCCCTCATTATAGTTTCAAGATTATTATATCGTCATATTTAACATACTTTTCCTTTGAATTACATGACTTTGTTTGTTGTTAAGAAATTCTTTCCAGTCCCAAATTGTTAAGATATTTTCCTCCATATATTTTCTTCTAAGTCTTAAAATTTGTTCTTCACACTTAGATTTTTAATCCACATAGAATTGATTTTATGTCTGACATAAGGTATAAATGCAATTAGTGTTGTGCTAGTAAACTAGCTCTGTACAAATACTTCCACTGCAGCTGATTTCCAGCTACCAATGATTTAACAATGTGTATTTGATATTCTTGAATACTTAGCAATTGACTGGTTTGAGCTAACTCCAATACACTGGTCCAATTGTATTTTAGTTTTTCACACAATTGCCATAGAATAATTTAGAGAATAATACACCCTTTCTAAACTACAATACCATTGCTGTCATATTTGATGTTTCCATTTACATTTGTCTGTTTCTAAAATTTCTGTTTTGTTTTATGGATTGATGGTCTGTACCTATGGTTCTCATATGTAGTTTTGATTAGTTTCTTGCAAATAAGTTTTGATATGTGGAGGAGTAAGTTTCTTTGTTCTTTCCTTCAACCTGTTTGTGCTGTCCTTGGTCTATTTTTTTAATAAATATTTTACAGTTGAGTTGTCAAATTTGAATGATAAATTATATTCTCACTCTAATCATTAGGCTTTGTTCATATTTTAAAAGTATGTCATCATACTTTTCTCAACAAGGATATTTTTGGCTGTATCATACTTTATAATGTAAGGTTATGTTTTACAAGACAGATTGATTACCCTTACTAAATATCAGAATTACCTACTATTCCTAGTTATTTTGATAAACCCTAAAGGACAATCTTGCATCCTTGTTTACATTATCAGTGGTTTACAAAAATCAAAGGAAGCATATTCTTTTCATTTATTTATTTTTGCTTTTTAAAATTTTATTGTATTTTCAATGGAGAAATACATCATCTGTTTACAAAATAGCTCATAAAAATACAAGTTATAGTTACTATAAAACAAAGCAGACTCCAGTCATGAGTCATTACATACATCATGCAAAAGCAACAGTCTGATCTCCAGGTTATGAAAACTAGAATTAAAAAGTCACTACACAGTGGCACACGCCTGTAATCCCAGTGGCTCAGGAGGCTGAGGCAGGAGGATCGAGAGTTCAAAGCCAGCCTCAGCAACAGTGAGGCACTAAGCAACTCAGTGAGACCCTGTCTCTAAATAAAATACAAAATAGGGCTGAGGATGTGGCTCAGTGGTTGAATGCCTCTGAGTTCAGTCCATGCTACCAAAAAAAACAAAACAAAACAAAAAACACAGAAAAGGTCCAAGTTTCCAGCCTGGCAAAACTTGGATGTAGTTACATGAAACATTTAATAAACAAATTTTCCCCAATGTATAAACAAAATGATAAGACTAAATATATGCCTAGCAATATCAGTCTAACTCTGAAGCTACACAAAACACAGGCACATTTTACACTTCACCTGTTAGTTGACCTCTTTTTTCCTTAAGTGGTGGGAGGAAGGGCAAGGTGACTGTGCAGAGCTGATTTGGGAAGCAGAACTATTGTACACTAGACATTATAAAGTCATGGTGAAAAGAAAACCTTAATTAATACATAGCCTAAGGGTCAAAGACTACACTCCAACTTCAGAAAACAATATCTGCCAACTCAACCTGTTATCTTCAAAATGCTAAAAAAGGAGAATGGAGGATATAAGACTTGACATGACTGAAAATAAATTTAGTTTTTTTGTGTGTGTGTGACATCCCTTAACTGGAGTAATTTTAGTGGTGGAGAAATGGCTGGGTGTGCAGCAGTTTAAGGAATGCTTTCACTCGGTGTACCCTGAGCTTTCACTGAAATTTACTTGTGGCTTAGAAACTTCAGTAGCCTGTGTATTGGTCACAGATGCTACTGTCACAGCTACAGCAGGACTGTTTCTACCCTAAGAGCTGCCAGAACTATTCAATGGACTGGTCTTTATAGCATTAGTAGGTGAAGGCACAGATATTCTGCAATCACTGTCCATAGACAAGTCAAGGCTGATGCCATTTAGAGCCATTAATCTGATTCCTGTTGAATAATTTTTTTCTCAAGCACATGATTAGGTAGTAGTTGATGGAATTGCTTTCTTTTTACATGCATTGAAGCAATTTTCATATCCATCTCAAATATCTTGCTGTTTATTGCTTGCCTATAAACTATATCTGTGAAAGCCTGAATGTAATAGGTAAGTTTAACAC